AAAAAAAAAAAAAACGCAAGAACCGCAATTTCATTTAAAAGTGATAAGCCTGCAAATACATATAATCGTAATAACAACAAGGATAGCAATCACATAATGGGAATTGCATGTGCGTAGGTGAGCAGTGTAATTGCATGAGCATCCGTGAAGCGTAGCCTATGTCGCAGCACATGCCAGCTCAGTATTAGGAAGGTTTAGGAGTGGTTTGAGTCCCTCAATACCTCCAGTGTGTAGCGCATTTGTACAGCCTTGTAGATGTATAGCATTTAAAACTTGAGTAGATCAGTTTATGCAGATGTAGAGCTTTACTTTTCTTACCTTGTTTGCGTTGCGGTAAAGAGAGGGCTTTGTCTTCTTGCCTTGCTGCCATCTGACTTACGTTACTGGTGGTCAAGCTGGCAGAGACAACTTGGGTATTTCTACTAGCTCTGGCGGAACGACTGGACGTGGTTTTTATGAGGGCCCGGTGGTCAAGCCATTTGCAGACCCAGTAATGGGACTGCCCCAAAGCCCAATGGTTGGGCCTCTACATCGTTGCTCTGAAGCCGGCCTTAGTGGTGCGACTGGAAGGATAAGCAGCGGCCATGGTATTGGCCACAGTTTGATCGGCCGCGACCATGGTGTCGGCAACAGCCCTCTGACCAGGGATAGTTGTCAACCCCATGGCCGAGTTCCGTCTACAGTGGCTGACAGCAATGACCATAGTGTAGAGAACAGTCCCTTGGTCAGGAATAGTTGTCCACAAGATGGACGAATGCTATATGCCAATCGTGATAAGCAGCCTGGGAACGTACAATCTGAAGGGGACGCCTGGACGGATTTGTTAAATCTGGGTTGCAGACAAACTGGAAGCTGTGAGGAGCGTGCTCTATATGGTAATGGCACTGCTCCCATCAGTGGTGTTGTTGCGCAAAGTGCTTACGAGGATGCCTGGAGATTAGCTGGAAATGGTGCTTTTCTGCAAAACTTACTGGCAACTGAAAATGCTCATTGGTGGCTCAGCTCAGTGTTGAGGCAAGTCGTGCGCAACAAGACCTGGCGCCACCAGTGCGTCAGGATGTACATACTGCTGTAGAAAGGGCCTTCGGCTGGTTCCTGTTCGTACTATAGCAGTACATTCTGTTTATCCCAGTTCGGAGGGAAGTTTCAAAAAGGTCGAGTGCTGGATAGGGGAATGTGCGCACCCTTCTCGACTCAGATGTCGCGTATGGACGTAGATACTGAGGTATTGGGAGAGGTATACATTTACAGAGAAGCAGCAAGAGTCCTCAAACAACCGTCCACCGGTCAGTGGCTACAACGTGAAACAAAAAGAAAGAAACGAATCTTTACATGATCCAATGAGGATCGGCTGTGCGACTGGTAGCGCTTCCACTTGGTCACGAGGACCCGTAGGTTCAAGAAGGTTATCTTACAAAATTTCAATGGGTAGAGATGAAGGACAACACAAAGCCGGAAAATGCATTCTACGGCACGCGTCAGCTGAGCAAATGCTCACATAGAAAATGACGCGAATCAAGATTGGCAAGAGTACAGCAATCCCTAGCCTACCACCTTTGCCAGGCAGACCCATGCCTCCCGTGTTGACCGGTAGTGGTCATTGCGACTCTGGAGGAGTTCCGCAAGGGTCTAGTCCGCGTAGTTATGCCGCTAGCAATGAGGTTGCGGGTTTGGCAAACTTGGCCGTTCAGGGTAGAGCTGGGGGTAGTGATCCAGCTCAAGTCCGGTATCAAGACAGTCTTTCCCATCAATACTTCAATTTTGATTTGGAAGAACTCTGCACGTCAAAAAGTTAGTGCAGACGCCTAGTTATCAGGCGTCCTTCCTTTGGCAACTTTAACGCCCCAGTGTATAGGGTTCCCGTTTGTAAGCAAGACAGGTTCCATAGGGGTAGCCCACGCACCAACAGCGTCGTCCTGGAGGGACTTTGCTAGTAATACCCCCGGGGACGCCCTTACCAGGCGGGGGGAGTGCATGTGCGTAGGTGAGCAGTGCAATTGCGTGAGCATCCGTGAAGCGCAGCCTATGTCGCAGGACATTCCGGCTCAGTATTAGAAGGGTTTAGGAGTGGTTTTAAGTCCCTCAATACCTCCAGTATTGTAGTACATTTGTACAGCATTGTAGAGGCATAGCATTTAAAACTTGAGTAGATCAGTTTATGCAGATGTACAGCTTTACTTTTCTTACCTTGTTGGCCTTGCGGTAAAAAGAGTGCTTTGTCTTCTTGCCTTCCTGCCATGTCATCAAGCAGGAATATAACAACAGCAATAATAACAACAACGCCGATAATAATGAGTATAGCAAGCATGATTGAACAACTTGAGAGAAATACTAGCAATAATTGTAGTAAGCGTATTCAATCATAAGAACCGTACTAGCATGATAAAGAGAATGTTACAATCTTAAATTAAAAGATATAGAATAAGAATTAAAAAATGCACAAAGAATAGCGGTCGTGCAGCAAAGCCTGCAAAGGTGCCCTTTGCAGAAAATGCGTAGTTGGGGGGGAGGGGGGGGGGCGCAGCGCCTGCCATTTGCAAACGCGGCGATCGCGCGCCAGGTCTTGAAAGATTCATATGGGTCTTGAAGCACTTCCTGCAGGGTTGCAACCCACAAAAAATGCGGAGGGCTGAAGCCGCATCGAGTCGGGTGTTTTGTGGCAAGCTGCTGTGCGAGGGTCCTTCTTTGAGGGCTACCAACGTCTTGGTTTCGGACAGCTCCCACATGTGCAATGCACGACCCTCTCCGTGTTGTTTTGTCTTTTCTTGACTCACGCATCTCACGCATGACGACCCTCTTGGTGTTCTTGTTGCGGACGACTTGTCGGCCTTCTTTCCTTGATTGCTTGTTTGCTTCCTTCCTGCTTCTCTCATCTTCTCTCCACATGTCCGCCCGCTCGTCCTTCCTTCCGTTGCTTCGGCCTCGACCTTCGTTCCTTCGTCCCTTACTTCCGAGCGGCCAGGGAACCACGCCACCAGGAGACCAAAAAAACAGGTGCCCGAAAAAAAGAAGTGATGAAAAACGACCGTTTGCAACAGGCTTTTGGAGCCATCGCCTGGAAAGAGGCCTGCAGCCCACAAAAAAACACTCTCCGTTCTAATCTGCCGAGGTTGGGGGTCTTGGGGCATTTGTATAAGAAGACTCCTGGTCGGGTAAGCGTTCCCACACCCTCTCCCAGCGCAAGGTATTTGCAAGATTCATTCGGACGATTGCGGAGGTTGTGTTTGGGATTTTGAGCTGCTGCTGGTGCATGTGAGCTACTTGCGATATCTTGCAATATGGGGCCTCTTTCGCTCATTTCGTGAAAGAATCGGGCGAGCTGGGAATTGTGTGACCCCTTGCCAACCCTCTACAAAGCAGAACCGTGCTGTCCACCAACGGCAACTGCACGTTGTAGCGGTTGGTCTCCGCGTCATAGGATTCGATGATGCCATGCAGGCCATTAAAATGAGCAGATGTCATCAAGCCATCAATGACGACACCAGCACCTGCCGGCAAGACCTGTGGCACTCTGGCAAAGGACAGATGCGGGCCACAAACGGGGGCCGTGCTGAGCACTGGAGACGCTGAACAGGCGTCTGCTGGAGCTGCAACGTTTTGCGGCTGCGTGCTCAGCAAGGCTGCCGATGCGTGAGACATTTGCATGGCCCTTGCGGAGCTTTGGTCCAGAACCCATGGATTCGAGCGCACGAGATTCTCATCCAGAAGCCCAACGCCGTCCACATGAAAGAAAGACCCTGCTACCTTCATCTGTGCTTCTGTCCCCTGCACGGTCTCGTCTGACTCTTGTACTTTGCCGTCACAGGCCTTGCCCTGACTGCCACTTCTTTTTCCTCGGCCCTTGCTTGGATCATCTCGCAGGTCTGTGTAGCCCTGCGACACCGCCGAGAACAAAGTTTCTTCATCTCGTCCGGCAAGTTCTTCATCAGCAGCATTGCCTACTTTCAGGAAACATAAAGATTCGCCAGCAGCATCCTACATGTTAGCGCGATGTTGGATGCATTCCGATTCTTGACAGAGGTGCCGCCTCGAACACTCTGACGCACCTCAATCTCCCTGGCCAATCGTTCGGCCTTCTTGCGAGCATGCGCCGGTACCTTGGCAACGTCGATGATCGTCGAGTACTGGGAGAGGTCTTCCTGAATCAGACCAAATCAACATGATCAGGATCAAGTACCCAGCGAGCATGGCCTTGAAGGTCGAAACATATCCAAAGAGCTCTGCATTTGCTTTGAACTGGTCCCAGTGTCCTGAGCAGTCGCGAACAATGACGCATGTAAGAGCGACGGTGCTGCGGGGGCCTGCAGCAGAGAGCTCCTGGCACCAGGATGCGAACTGGTGGAGCGCAAGCAACCCTGCTTTGAAGAGCTATACGCAGAGCTTTTGTATGACTTCCTCCAGGGTTCCATCGCAATCTCCAGGCACGGCCCAGCGCTGAAGCTCTCGCTCCTGCTCGTACTCAAGTACGTGCTATTACGTGCTGCAGCGGGTGCCACAATCGATCCTTGCCCGGCTCCGCAGCCGCACCGATTTCCTCCAGCAGCTGATCGTGCACAGGGCATAGGCATGGAATCAGCTCGCTTGGCTCCGTGCTTTGTCAGTGAGCCAAGCCTTCTTTTCAGCCTGCAAGCGCATGCAAGCCCACATGCTGCTGTTGCACTGGTCTTGTATGCATGGAAAGGCAGGCATGTCCTCAAACACCGGAGAACAGGACTCATCCAAAGAGCCGTCGCGTGGCGTCAAGCCTGGGCTATTTGGAATCGTCTTTATGCTTTTCACATGGCCCACGGCATGCCAACAGCCCCTATCCCTTTGGCCAAGGCACTGTGCGTCGATTCTCGGGAGTTGATTCCAGAGTCCTGGGTAGCCGTGGATAAGCAAGGGCTGGATGGTGTTGCTGCGAGCTGGCTTTCAACCTTGCCGGCGGTCAGGTCATCTGTCCGCAACAAGCTCGAAACCAGCGCTCACGGTACCGAAGCTATGTTCCCTAGATGCCTTCTTCTTGATGCTCTCAGTCATCGTGTGCGATGACTTGCGCGGTGTCTTGCGCAGCTCGTGCAGCTTCGTGAGCAAAGTATTTGCTGGATCCTGAACTCTTAGCAGCTCCTGTGCCGAACATTTGCAACCTTATAACAAGAAATTACTACATTGACGCTGAGGTTCCAAATCTTCGATATCAGCATCGCGCATAGCGGGCAAGGTGCAAGAACCTGTTCAACATGCTTCAGGTGGCTTCGTGCCAACATGCCTTGCAAGGCACTTCGATAAGAAAGTGAAACGGAAACGAGCTTGTTAATGTCTTCTGCCGGTGTGATGCCGGAGCGAGTCGAGGCCGATGAAAGCCAGGCGTAAGCAGCGTAAGCACAAATGAGCACCGGAGGAGAGAAAGGGCTCTCCACACTCGAGGCTGGACGCTCCAGACTCCACTTTCCTCTCCACTTTCCCGTCAACTTTCCATTCAACTCTTCAAGCAAGCCTGCAACCACTTTCCATTCCACTTTCCACTTCACCCTCGATTCCACTTCCACTCCACTTTCCACCCCAAGTTCCATGCCACCTTCCACTGCACTCTCCAGTCCATATTTTCCACGCTAAACTCTGTTCCATGCAACTCCCCCACTCCACTCTCCAAGCTCCCTTGTCCACTCTCCACTTTCCACGGCACCACTCTCCCAATTATCCAAATTCCACTCCACGCCATTCTCCACCTTTCGACTCCACACCGCTCCGTTCCACTCCACTCCATTCCGCTTCACAATGGTGACCCCAAACGGCCTCGTCCCGGCAAAGGCCCAAAAGTCCAAACAGCTATGAAGATGGCCACCCCGACGACGGCCCCCCAGGCGACTGTTGGCACTTGTGGCACACGATTCAGCAACGAGGTCCAAAGCCACGAGGGGTTTGATGTTCATTGAAGATGCGATCTGACTCATGTTTAAGGATCACCACGAATGACCGAAAGGCATGCAAGGGCAACAAACGCTGCGAAGGAACCCAGGGAAATTTGACGCATTGACTTGATCGTAACATGGCCACACAAGAGTAGTGAATACGGAGCACGTGTATCAACCAAGCATGATGTTACTTGTAGCATGACGGCACAAGAGTAGTGAGCACTACCAACAGAGACATGTTACCTGCACCATGACCACCAAGGGGTACAAAAGGTGTTGGGGGACTTGGGGCAACCACCAGGCATGAGGTTACTGTACGAGCTATCACATAAGGGAAGCGAACACTGCAAGAGGAGGAGGGGGCATGGGCAGGCCGGTCTACAGAAAGAATAGGGAGGATTGGTCTAACAACCAAGCATGATCTTCGTATCATGTCCGTGAGAGGGTACAAAATACGATCGAAAGAGTACAGTGTTTTGAGGAGCCAGGTTTTTTCCCCCCCCCCATTTTTTTGGTTTTTTATTTGCCCATTTTTTTGGTTTTTGGCGTTTTGGGGGTGCCCGCCTCATCCCTGTGACTGTTGACACTGTTGACATGCCCAAGAGACATGAGAAGCCAAAA